AAATCAAGCATACCAACATCAAGTATTAACACCAAATTTTCGCAACAAGATATCAGTTACTTTACCAATCTATAGAACCTGAGTTTAATAATAGCCCTCTTGAAAAACAATTAATTGAAACACTGAATAAAAATAATAATGATATACAAGGCGATAATAATATACAAGACAGTGATGATAATATAAACTGCCTTCTTTATAGTTTGGATAAGGTATATAAGTTCATTGCCAATCAATTTCAAAATGCAGAAAGTTTAAATGAACTAGTAAAGTTATCATTCGAAATTAAGCTGAAATCAAATTTTGTTAATAGTATATTCCCAAACCAACAAGAATTCCTCTCAAGTACATTTGATCCAGAAAAAATTAAAAAAAAATTTACCCAACTTGCAAATATTCTACTTATGCCGCTAGAATCTGGATCTGGTTACTATTGGGAGTTGTGACAATTGCACCTTAATACTAGAAAGAAAAAGTTTGAAGGTTGTGCTACAGCCTATATTGGATAAAGATCGGCAATGGCAGAGACCTGAAAATGCATCTGTAAAACGAAAAAATGAAGCTCGTACACCAATAAATCAATATGCATGTATAGAAAACATTATAATTACCATAGATCCTTAGCAAAAATGTGCTTTGGTTCAATGTAGTCACCAACAAACTTATGAACATCCAACATATAGGCATATCGATTTTTCAATAATAGCAAGACAATAGATCAAAAAAAATACTAATTTTCATTTACAGAATTCTGAACTATATCAGCGCCTTCTGCAGCACAGGCTTATTGATCTACTAACCTATACTAAAGAACAGGTATACTATTGAGCAACAATCTACAGAAGAGAAACATATATGTTTAATTCCAATAATTAGCTATTGTCTTCCAAAGAGTACCTTAAAAAACAACAAGGCTTCAAGATTCTTTATTATTTAGAGAATGTTTTTGTAAGATCTTTTGGGTTTGCAACACCACTGCTTCACCACATTGGTGTTACAAATATAAAAGAGATAGTTGTAGACTCAATGTTCAAAACTAATCAAGAATATTTTGAACTCTTTGCTATTATCACTAATTGTGGTGTGTACAGAATGCCTATTGCATACCTGTATCTATTGACACTTGAAGGCACAGAAAGACATACAACAGTTCAGAAAGCATGGTTAGTACACATATGCAAGCTCTGAAAGAATTTTTTACCAGCCTGCATCAAGAGGGTTTGCTGCCGATATTTATCTTATTAGACAAAGATGCAGGTGAAATATTAGCAGCAAATGAGGCTTGGTCATGGATAGCCAATCTGCAATTATGTTATTGGCACTTAGAACGTGCTATTAGAACTTATCTAAAAAATACAAAATCAAAAATGAAATGTTATTCAAAGGATAAAGCCCTAGAAGCACACCTGCAATTTGACTTTATTGAACCATCATGGATCCCAAATAGTTTTACTGATAGCTTATATCCAGAAAATAAAGTTAATGAATTAGTAAACATAATTAAGCAACACTTAAATATGCATCCCTTAATCCCAATAAGTAAAAATACTTTCTGGAATTCTGCGCAAATCTACCAACATTGCACACAAGAAACCTATCAGTTTTGTTATGATAATAATTTTTTGAAATTGTGGGGCTATCTATGGATAAACTAGTACAATAAAAAAAATTGGAAATTGTTCGCTCGTTCAGCCTATCTATTAGCAATGCCCCTTGCTCATACTATGATGCTCATAGAAAGTTATTGCCGAGTTCTAAAATATAATTATAAGTATAATTATAATAGATTTCGCCTTAACCAATTAATACAGATTCTTGCCAAACGTCTGGTACCAGATTTCGAAATTAAATTGACCCAATACAATACAAATCGTAGCTTTCCAACATGGTGAAATGATTTCAAGAAGGATTGAGATAAAGCTGCAAGTACAAATATTGAACCTGGTATGGATGAAAGATACCATATCGATGTGGTCAATTGGACATATTCTTGTCTAGTATACTCCTGTAGTCATTATTTTCTTTGCAAACATTTGGTTTCAAAGAAAAATGACCAATCCCAGTCCTTCTTTTCTACCTTTTTAGAAACAGCACGCCGCTATAATTATCCTCTAATTTTTTTTGGTGCAGATACAATGCTAGCAATTTATCGTGTAAATAACCCTTGGGAAAGATATGAACAGGCTGTTGTAAATGACAATTCTGAAGCCTCATCTACTATTATAGATAACAATTCTGAAGCCTTACCCTTAATTTCTGGTAATTTACAGAACATGGCATTAGATAAAATAAATATAGACGATGTAAAAGAGAAGCTATTTCATTATAAAAAAATTTTTAATTCTGCATTAGAATTATATAGAAGAGAAAGAAACAACACACAATTTACTAAAACCTTTGATACTCTGTTAAAACCATTTGTCAAGGCTATAGAGGAATGCGAGAAAAAATTAAACACTCAGAAACAACAGAGTACCTTAGGATCAAGGGATGAAAAACTTGCTTACTGGTTATGCTAGCTATAATTCACTTTTAGGAACAGCTTAGAAATTGTTAATTGAATTATATAAAATTTTATAAATTTTACTGACATAAAGTTTAACTCTGTGATTGCCACATTTGAGAATATAAACAGTATCGAAAGCCAATTAGGCTGGACGTATAAAATCATAATTCTTACGATTGTAATAGAAATCAATTCTTGCCTTTACTCTAATGCAAAAAAAAAAGGATAATATCGGTTGACACTTACCTTAACATTAAAGGCTATTTGTAAAAATTGAATTTTACAAGTATACATTAACTATGCATTTGATTATAATTTTCTTATGTCCATCTGCTCTGTATTGCCATAAATACTACTTTGTTATACTTTGTTGAATGCTTCTACTTAATTTTTAATATTTATTATGATCCCTTTAATAAATTTTTGCAAGCGTATTTTTTAAAGTTTTCGTACTACTTAAATATATACATGTGCTATGTTAATGATGCTGATTGGTTATAAGCAGTAAGGATCAGATAAGAATTGGATGTGATCTATATTACGTGACTGCAACTTTTTTTTTGCCATGGCTAGGGTTTTATATTGTGGCTGCTGCAGCTTGTGTATCCTTATGTAATCTAAATATTCAAATATAGTACAAGTGTGGCTAGTGTGGCAAATATAGTACAAAAGTTAGTTACACATTGTAAAATATTATGTAATAGTATAAAGTTTGTGTTAAATTAAAGAACTAATAGATTTATACTAAATAAATAGTGCTGTTTAAGGAAATATTAATTTGCACAAAGTAAATTTAATTTGAACTATTTTTAGAAGTGATTTGGAAGGAAAAAGTGGAGTAAAGACAAAAAAATTTTTTGCAAAAAGTTTAAAAAGGAGTAAAGATTATTTTTGTTATAATTTAGTTAGTATTAGGTTAAAACTTTTGTTTAAAGCTTATTTTGATTAGAATGATAAGCTCTACAACTTTCTCTTAAGGTCTAAGAAGAGTTGTAAAGATAGTTTTCCAGAAATAACCAAAAGTTTGGTTTGAAAAAACTAAAGATATTTTGTAGTTTAAAACTACGAGTTTTTAAAATTATAAAAGAAACAATTTTACTTAAGATGAAAGGTATGTTTTTTTAATAAATTATTGAAATATTAGCAAATTTATAATATATAAATTTTTATTTAAGTTTGTATAAAGGATTTATGGGAAGAGTTTTATTTAGAGAAGAATTTAAAAAACATATATAATAATTAGCCTTAATGCTTAATACTTAATGATTAGCAACTATGCTTAAAATTAACAATTAGCAATTACACTAAGTAATTAGCAATTATGTTTAGTGATTAGTGATCAATGATTAATGCTTAATATTTAACAATTAGTAATTACAATTAATGCTTAGTACTAAGTAAACTATATTTAGATGCAGCAATTAGTGATTAGCTTTAAAGATATAAAAAAGTTGTATAATATTCCAAGTTAATATTAGATTTGTTTATCATCCAACTTAGATATAAACTTCTCTCTTCTCTAAATTCTCTCTTGTAAGATTATAGAATTTTTTAGAAATAGAAATCTAAGGGAGCCTATCTTATTATTTTAAATAAACATATATTTTATCTATAGACTATTGTCTGCTCAAACAGCCACAGACAGAAGTATATAGTTTTTAAAAGAAGTAGAAATTATACTTATCTGTTAAATACTACTATAAATCTGTTAAGGATCACTATAGCCATGTCATTGTTATAGTACTGCTGTTAAGAAGGCCATGATACTGTAACAGCATGAAAAGTTGTTTCTTAAATAAATTTTTGAAATAAAGCCAATTTTTTTTTAAGTGGATATTTGTTTTAAAATTTTTTGACTGCATGATATTATATCAAATTAAGATTCTTTATTGGCTAATTTTGATTTTTTTAGCATAGCACTAAAATTTTTTTGATTATGTAATAGTACCAAAATTCTTTAAGTTTATTTATGTTAGAATTAGGGTTAAATTTAGATTTAAAAAAATTTAGTATATTGTAAAACTATCCAAAAAATTTTTTGTTAGAGCATGAAAAGCTGTTTACAGTAGAAATCATAAGTATCTCATCCCTCTAACTTTTTAAATAGAAAAGCTACAACTTTAAAATTTTTATAGTAAATAGTATTAAATAAATATAGATTAGTGTTAAATTTTTATACTTTCTTAATCACTACAACAAAAGTTAGATGAGAGCTAAAATTTTAATAAAATTTGTTACTAAAATTAAAAATTAATTAAATTTGATTAAAAATTAATAAAAATATAGAATTTAATTTAAAAATTAAAAAATTATTATATTAAAATATAAGCATTTTTATATTACTGAAAAAATATGCGGAGGACCAGAATAATGACGGTCAGACCAAACGTACATGGCAGACTATGGAATCCTTCGCAGCTGTGAGAACAGAGCTTAAAACGGTGAGCACCCCTACAGAAGAAAGTTTATCCAAATCATTACCAACACTATTAGACTCCTATGATTTGGACATATGCTATAATCGATATCTTAGTCACTATCAACTATCTTTACTAAGAGAACCACAAACTATTAGTTCATTTAGACAACATTTAATACTAAACAATGCTAACCACCTTGCATGTTACCACCTCATTACAGTTAACAGTAATAGATCCGAAGCTTACGTATACTTACCTGATGATTGTGATATATTACTCAATTACCACATTTTCTCTATATTATATGATTCACTCAACATTCCTTTAAGATCCAAACCTAATATACCAATTAGGCCTTCTACTTCTTACAACATACCAACTACAAACTTAAATAATATATTTTTACCTACACAAACTATTAGAACTGACAATACATCCTACTATAATACATCATCACATACCCCAACCCAATCTAATTCTAACTCAAACAACAACAGTATGACTAAAGAAGCACTCAATA